AAAAAAAAAAAAAAAAATCTTCAATGATTCCTGTTTCTGAATACAGAGGCTGGAGAAGGAATCTCCCTTGGTTTCACCAGAAAGGCATGACTTTTGTGTAGTGCTGGGGAAAAGGGTAAGAGTAGGGCCTCTCAGGCTTACATTAGCCCACAGATGCCAAGATGACGTCTACTGGCAGCTCTTCTGAGCTTCTGGCTGTCACCTGCATTGTCACTGTGTCCAAAAGCAACAGCCGGGAGCGTACCAGGATGTCATGACCACCTCGGAACACACCTAGAAGGGACAAGAGAAGTGGAAGTGTACAAGGCAGAAGGAGGCTATGGAGATGAGGCTGGGGGTGCGGTGGGGGGCATTTGCAGCAACGGTTCAACTAAAAGGGGTGATGGGCTGGTCTGAAATCTCAGAAAAGCCTTTGGCAAGTCACTTCATCTCTCTGAGCTTCAGTATGCACAATTACAAAGTGGAGGGAATAATGATACTAACCCTATTTCAGGCCTCGGCCAAGGCTCAAATGAAGTAAAGACGTAAGACTAGTGCTTAATGTCACAGAGGCTAAACAACCCAAGTTGGCTAAATCTAAGAGCAGATAAAGGGGACAGCCCCATGAAAGAACCGCAGAGCAAGACCCAGGGGACTAGGTGATTCAATGTAACAGGAAGCAGATGGGCTTGGGTGCTGTCAGCTGGGAACAGGGCACTGAAGCAGAGCATCCTTGAAGCTCTGTTTATAAACACTGGGGGGAAGGGTTGGTCCATCCCTTTTGTTTACTATTTTAGGTGTGACAGTTGCACTGCCCCTTATTTTTAAACAGTGGGTCATTATCTCTTAGCAGAACACAGGTACAGAAGCATTTACAGATAAACTGCTTTATCTCAGAGAGGGGAAAATGGATGGGGGTATATATTTATATTGTTAGTTGTTGAAGCTGGAAAACAAACACATAGAAGTTCATTATACTATAGTTAGTGTATGTTTAAAATTTTCCATGATAAAATACTTTGAAAAAATCCCATTCCTGTTGGAAAAGACTAACCACCACAGCAGAAAATTGGGCAAAGGATATGAACACAATTCACAGAAGAGGGTCAGCCCAGGTGTTGCAGGTGAGGAGAGACAACTCAGGGACGCCCAAAGCAGCAGGCCAGAAGAGCAGGAGAAAGGTGATTAAAAGCCAGGAAGCCAGACAGAGGAACAGTCAGCCACAGGGACCCAGGTGGGGGTGATACGAGAGGTCTCCAACAGCAGGACAAACTTGTCTG